ATTTGGGTGAAAAATGCCCCTCTCAAGCAATTAAAAAATTGTATGAAACAAATTATTATGCAAGTTACTAAACAATGGTGATGTATAGCTGTGAAACACTGTCGTCATTATATCCAGTAGCCTTCAGGAATTGTTGATTCTGGAAGTCTGGACAAAAAAAAAAAGTCAAACCTGGAAGACTTTATTTTCATGTTTATTAATGTTTGTTCATGTAATGCAAATCAGTTCATATTTCAATCATTTTACAACCCATTCGCATGTTCACAGTTCTCTGATGTCTGGTAATGGTCACATTGAAATGCAGTTAAACAAATAAAATATTTCTATTTTTAGTGTCCAAGTGTTTAAATAATTTCTTTTACACTTTCATGATTTAATTAATTATTAGCTTTTTATCAACTCACAAGCCCACTGCGGTTCTTACATTAAGCCCAGTTTGGAAAATCTTGTTTTAATGTAAGATTTAGTGCACTTTATGATCAAAAATTTGAAAATATTTTCTTTCTCTTTGCTTTTTATATCAATATGGCATGTTTAGTGGTAAGTGTAAAGCAAGTTAGATAATAATAAAAAAAAAGTATTCAGAATACATTACCTAAAATTTATGTTGATATGTGTGTGGCAGTCGTCCTTGAGGGGCTGCCGCATTTATTTTTGTTTTGTCACGACCGGCTCAAAGCCGTAACAAATGAAAGGAGGACATGCGGTTGGTAAGGTTGCAACAAATTATTTATTAACAAAAGAAAGGAAAAATAACTACCATTTCTGTTTGACAAGATGTTATAGAGTCAGACAGAACAAGTCTCACAACTCATAACAAAATCCAAATAAACATTCCAAAACCAAAAAAAATCACAAAGCAATCGGGAGCAAACCAGGCCATTCCCACACCAACAAAGCCACAACTTTTATAGCAGGAAGAACAGGTGGACATCGTTCTCTTGATAGTATTCAATGTTTTATGTTTAATATATGAAAACATTATTTATGCATTTGTAACTGCAGGTTAAATGCTTTCATGTTCTGCATTAAACAGTGTGTAAATACATCTAAATGTCACTTCAGATGCAGCTTCTGTGTTTCGTCTGCATTGCAAAGATCAGTTTTGTTGATACTGATTTAATTTGCTTGGTAACAACCCAAATGCAAGAATTTGACTCAAAAGATGGTGCACACTTTTAGAAAAAATGGCTATCAAATTAATATGATAATTAATACTTTTGACTCATCCATTTTCTTAACAATGGTTTAAAGGCTGAAATGTAAAGTTTATCATTTTATAAAACTTTGTTTTTGTTAAAACTTGTATCTGAACTGTAAATTA